CCCCAAAACCCCAAAACCCCAAAACCCCTATCTCCCCCTAATTTCCCAAAATTTACTTATTAAAAGATGTCAGGACCCAAACCTCCCAAAAATCCCCTTCCCAAGTCCCTAATCCACCCAATAGAGCAATCAGTGACCGCCAGTGAGCACATTTTATCCCAGAAGACAACTGTACGTAACCCCAACCAATCTACCAATCTGTGGCCTTCTCAGATCTCCAAATCTACGCTCTGAGGGTGCCCAAGTGGGAAAATAGGAAGGTTTAAGCGTTAAAAGGGGGTTTTAAGGGGATTTTAAGGGATTTTGGGGGTTAAGGGAGAGGCTGGAGGGTTAGGAATTGGGTGGAGGGGGATTGGAGTTAGGGGATGGATAGGTGGGTTTTAGGGGTTGGGGATGGGATCTTGGCCAGTTTTGGGGGTTTTGGGGTGAATTGAGTGTAGGTTTGTGTTGCTTTGGGGTTTTGGGTGGATACTTCTTGTGTCTTTTAGAGAGGACATTTTTGGAATATTGTTTTTGAAGTGAAAAATTTGTATTTATTCTTTTAAAGATCCAGGTCCTCTTTTTTCTTCAAGAGTTAGTTTTAGAATTTTACTATTTTGAAGTTTATGAATGTCTTACAGCCTACGGATATAGAAAGCAATGGGATTCAGGTTCAAGAACAGAGATTTAATCGGTAGAAGTAGCAGAGTTATAGCTAACTTAACCAATCTAAGAGAGGTGATTATTCATTGAAAGAGAATGGATTTATCCAGAGTTTGTATCAAAATTACTTCCTTCGGTCTCTTCTTAATTGTTAAATAGATCCTTCATTATTTGGCTTGCACCAGTTAATTAAGAATGCATAAAGTCTGTTTAATAAGATTTATATGAGGTCTCTGTTCTATGACTTTCTAGATGCATACAATAACCTATCTGGATGAACAATGCCATTCCTTGGCCTAATTAAGGAGATTAGAAATCCGAGAACATTCTCGAAATCTTATGCTTTGAATCTCCTAACAAAATAAGTCGTAGAGTTACTTGCAGATTGTACTTAAAGTATAGATTTATCCTTGCAGAGATCTAAACATGTCTCCAGAATTCGTCAATAGTCTATGAAACTCTTTTTACAATCTCTTATATTAATTTCAGGCTTCTTAACAGCAATTGGCCATTTTCTACCGATTTTAGCTTGTTTTAGTCCTAAATTTCTTGAAAACTGGCAATGGAAGATAAAAGGGCTTCATTAAAATGGGATTCTTTAGATGTGAAAGCCATGGGTTTGGTCTCCCACTACGGACACTTTGCTTACACTTAAATGGTTTAGGGTACAAGTTTGAAGTAAGTGAGAATTCTGAGTAACTTCTCGATACATTTTAGTCCCTGAAGGTAATGAATTCCTTTTAAAACTCTTTGTTTTAACCTACCAAAACTTTTGTACTAGAAAAATCTGAAGTAAGGCAACCAGAACGCCCTTGAGGATGAGCGGGTTTACCAAATTTGAATTTATCTTGGGTGAAGAAACCAAGCCTTCTCAGGTCAATCAGGTATTCGAAGACTGGGTTCATCATGATTGAGAGAAGATTTTGATCAGATCTGCTGATCTGCCTTCAAATCTAGGGAATTCTACGGCTACTCAGAGCCAGACTCTCCCTTGTTTTAGGAGGATAGTGGGATCCTTGCAAGCATTTTGGAGAAAATTAACTTTCTGAAGTGCACAGTTGCACTTTCAAAAGCTTTGGTTATCTCAGAAAGATCTGAGGAGAGTTCTTGCCACTGGAAGAGACTGTAAAAAGATCTTCTTTAGCGATTGTGTGTTTAATGATGGCAAAATTAAGACTGGGGTTAAAATATTGGGAAAGATCGAAAATATAGGTTTTAATAATTGCTCATTGGATTCAAATTATGAAGATGATAAGAACGTCACAGAAATGACTTTATGTATCGTCCTGCTAATTGTCCAATTGTATAAAGGCTCTAAGCTACAAGAGGTTGAATTCTGGGACTCTAAAAATAAGTTCAGTAAAGATGTAATATTGAAGACTTACAACCCGATGAACAATAAGAAGGTCCAATGATCTATTGAAGGAGGTCTAGCTCTATTCAGTTTAAACTCAACTTTCTAAAGTCCATATTACTTATAACTAGCTATAGATTAGTTTGGTTACAAATATGATTCAACATCTCTTGATATCTAAGGGGTTTTGGGGTTTTGGGGTTTTGGGG